ATGTTCCAAGTCAGGGAGTCAAGGAATGGTTAGACGCATGGAACACAGAAAAGAACAATTGTTCGCATGTGGGAACCACCCCCCTGCCCCCCCCCCACGCCCCTGTGTGTCTTGCCTGACCCTTCGGAGCTGCGCTTCTCTGCCCTGCCCGGGGCGGTTTGCCCCCCAGGAGCTGTTTGGCAGTGACAGCGCACTTAAAGGCTGTCACAACTGCTGGGGGGAGGGGGGGAGAGCTCCCGACACGCAGGACAGCCGCCCCAGAGAACGGTGCAGCGCAAACGCCCCCAGAGCCGCGGCTCAGACGCCCCGCTCCGGAGGACGGCAAAGCGCCACCTCCCCTTTGAAGACTTCCCCGAGTGTTTTGGTGAGAGATACGACAGTGTTCTCCTGCCTTCCTCCTGCCTGCCTCTTTTTTTTGCATAACACCTTTTTCTGGGTGTTGGTTATTTGTGACAGTTGTCAGTCCTTGACCACGGCCCCGCCCCGGCCCCCTGTCACTGAGCAGAGTGCCCGGGGCACGGTCGGTGCCCTCCCAGCACGATTCACCTGCTGGGCCGTGGGAGACTCGTGCAGCAGGGGGGCTCTCCCTGAAATACTGTCGGTGCGCCGAGTGTCGGGGTGACGTCCCTGGTTTGCCTGGCGGGTGGAACCCCTGAGAGTTGCGTGTGAGTGCCCCCAGTGCAGCTGTACAGGGGCTCCTGTCCTCTAGGAATCCCTGAGAAGACAGCCCGGGGGTCACCTGTGTTGGCGGGACCCTGAGCCGTCGCCGGGCACCACTGGGGAACGGACCCCGATTCCTTCGCTGCCTGCCCCTCCCACAGACTCTCCCCAGCTCCCCAGTTCCTCCCCCCTGAGGGCACACGCACCTGACCCTCAGAGCCGTGGATGCCTGGGGACTGGCTGGCGGTGGGTGGACTGAGGAACCTCTTCCGTCCCCTCACCTGGGTCACTGCAACTTGGCGTTTGACAGCTGAGCCTGGCGCACGCTGGTGCTGCCCACTGAGGTCACACTGGGGGTGGGGGGCCTCCTGCTAGAATGAACAAGGGCGTGGAGCGTGGGTGCTGTCTCGTGACAGGTCTGCGTGTCCACACCCATCACACAGCCCCACGGCCCCGCTGGCAGCAGACCTCCCGGGCTCCGTCTCCCTGCTGGGCCAGAGAGTCTCCGCCCCGAGACCCGCGCACGCCCTCCCGGGACTCAGAGACGAGGGTCCAGTCCTCATGTCTTCTCTGTTCCGCCTGTAACTTTCAGTGTGTGGGGCGAGACACGTGGGCCCGTGGCGGGCCCCGCCCAGGGCTGTCAGCCCACAGGCGCCGAGCGCAGAACCCGCCTCCTGAAGTGGCCCGGCGTGCGTCTGTCTCCCGGTGACACGGGACCTTGCTCAAGAAACATAGCTGTCTTTTTTGCCTCGTAGGTGTGTGCCTGTCAGTCACCCTCCCGCCAAAAAGTAGCCTTTAAAGAGCCCGTGACCTGGAGGAGGGCTTCTTTGTTGGCTCCCGGGTGGCGCTCTGCTGCCTGCAGCCTGGTGCCGCTAAGCTGCTGAGGCCGTGATTAGCAGCTGCCTCCTCCTGTTGTTCGGAAGGTCAGCCGGAGTTGCGGACGACTCCGCTACCAGTGGTTTCCTTTAGCAGCTCTAGCAACACTTGCGAAACAGCATTCTTGCAGACAGTGCTTAATTTGTAGGAAGCTAGAAATGGCGTGGGACAGGGAAGTCATGGGGCGGGGGCAGCCAGGGGAGCTCATGAACTTGGAGCTGGCTGGTGGAGGAGCCTGGCCAGCTGCGGGTGGTGCGGGGGCGTGGCAGGGCTGGCTCCTGGCCTGGGCCCCTCTGCAGCCCCGAGGTTGTGCCTGCTTACTCCCGTTGGCCTGTGGCCGTGAGATCAACTAAAGGCTTTTTTTTTAAGCCAAAATGGTGACCTACTCCATGGCATGGCAGAATTCAGGAAAGATGGTCTAGAGGGAGCAGTTGGAAAGGCAACGGGGAAATCAAGCACAAGGCCACCCGAACACCAAAGGGAGGAGTATTGTCATGTAAAGGCAGGGCTGGCTGTGTAAAGGGATTTGCAGGGACGGGTTCTGTCTGAGCCTCTGATTCTTTGCATCGGAAGAGCCCATGTATCCAGGGCAGGAGGGAGACGTGGTCCTGCAGGATTTTCAGCCTGCACCGGAGGGTCTCCTGTGAAATCATCATGGGGGGCCTGGAAAAGCGGTGCCCCCTTGCCGGGCGGTCGGCATTAACAGAGAGTGACCAGACGCGCAGGGCCTTGGTGCAAAGAGGCTCCATCCTTCAGTGTCTGCTGGGAGCCAGTGTCATCTAAGGTGGATGGAAATGGAATCTTCTACTCTGCTGCAGGCTGCATCCTGCCGTGGCTAAGCGCAAAACCTGGCCCGGATTCCAGACGGCCGTGCAATAATGGGAAGACGAGCAGTTGAATATTTGGGCTTTAAAGGGATGCTGTGTTATTTATGTATTTTTACCTTGCCCTCAGGTCACAGGATGCATTTATGTACCTGACTGATGGGCCAGCACATTCCACATTAAAGCTCGTCTCCGTAGTCCAAAGCTACTCCACACTGCTCTCCACACTGCTGAGCACCGCCTCCTGCACCTGCAGACCGGGCCGGCCTCTGAGTGTCTGCAGCCGCAGCCGGGGACCTGTAGTCTGCGGCCCGCCGCCCGTGGCGCTCACCTGTTCGGGTGCCAGGCACGGCGTGGCCACCTGGGCTCCCTCGCTGTCTTTTCCCGTTCAGTCCCTCGGCCTTGGAGACTGCACCGTTTTTCATGAGTTTGTGGATCCCTTGGGGACAGAGGCCAGCCTCCCCACTGCTCGGTGTGGCAGTACAGGCCCAGCGTGTATGTGACGGACAAACGGAAAAGTGCCGAGACGTCACGAGACCATTTAGGTGTCCTTGATACCCAGTTCAGTAATAGTCACACATGTGTCTCTCTCCACTGCCAACAACACAGAATGCTGACACTGAGAAGAAATGACACTGTAGCCGGGGAAAGGGTACAGGTGGTGTGACCCCAAGCCCCCGGGTTCAGCTCGCAGCAGATAGCTGTGCAGTGTGGGGGGAGACGCCTGCCCTCTCTGAGCCCCAGCACCGCCTGACCGGATGGGTACTGGAAGCCGCGCTGTGGCAGCGGTGACTGCCTGGCTCCCCCTCTGCAACAGGGTGGGGCTCGGGTCTTACCAGAGAGGGCTTTTGGTTGAAACTCAGCAGGCAAGACCCCTCTGTCCTGGGGCCCCGACTCTGCACGGAGGACATGCTGGGGGCCCTGCTCCCGAGCCCTTGGGTGCCAGGGGCTGGTGGACAGAGCTGAAGACCCTGCTGGTGGCCATCATGTCCAGCTGGAGCCACTGAGGGTGGTCAGAGGTGCTTTAGAGGGTGTTCTTTGTAAACAGGCCTGATTGTTGAGAGCTTTTTGGGGTTCGCGGCAAGACTGACTGAAGGGTACCCAGGTTTCCTGTGTGTCCCCAGCCTCTGCACACACAGCCCCCCCACCAGCGCAGGTGCCCCCCGCCGGAGCGCTGCATCTGCCGCAGCTGCTGAGCCCGCTCTGCTGCGCCGCCGCCGCCTGCAGTCTGCTCTGGGGCTTGGTGCAGCTGCGGGCAGGGCACAGCGACATGCGGCCATCGCTGTGGCGTCGGACAGGGTGTTTTCCCCGCCCACTGAAATAAGTAACTTGAGTGGGCTAGCAGCCTTTCTGATTTGTCTCGTTAAATCTGAATATTCCGTTCCCCTCTGAGGCGAAATCTGGATTTCCTCGGTCGGTGGTAGCCTCCAGAGAGCGCAGGACTCAGCTCCACACTTGTTAGGTACCCAGAGCAGGACAGGTGCCCGGTAGTGACTCGCTGCAGGGGAGAGGAGGGGCGAGCCGCACCCCCGCCAGCAGCCCACGGGTGTGGAGCGCCCACCCGGCCAGGGGCGCGGCCCTGGGAGCAGCCTCTGCACAGTCCCGGCAGGTCCAGGCCCAGAGAAAGGTGGTGGGAGCCTCCCGTCTGGTGGGCAGGGGTCGTAGGTATGACCTTTCCTGCGGAAACGCAAGCAAACTGACCCAGCTGAGCTCAGGACGTTGGGAAGAGCCGGTAAAAGCTCAAGAGCCACAAATGAGCCCTTCCCCGCACCTGGGAGGCCAGAGACCACGGTCCGAGAGCCAAGAGGCGGTGAGCGGGGTCGGGTGGAGGGCGAGACAGCGTTCACGGCAGCAGTAAGTGTAGCCTTTACACAGTGCCTGGCGCACAGCTTCTTAGCGAACTCCATCCTCACGCGGGTGCTCAGGGTTTCGGTACCTTCTTTCTTCCGCCTCAGTGGGCAGGCGTGCACGTGCCGAGGTGGTCAGGGGGAGGGCGAGCCTTGGGGCACAGGCAAGGCTTCCCCTGCTCTGAGTCCCCGCATTCTCCTGCCTGCGGTCCAGGTAGCAGGTGCCTGCCGGTCCAGAGCCCTCCCCCACCCACCCACCCACTGGGAAATGTCGCCTGCCCTTCACGCGGAGGTGTGAACAGCCCCGCCCACCGTCTCCCAGCTGCCGCACCGGCCCGCCCTCCCCTCCTTCCTGGCGGTGGGCGTGTTCCTGTGTCCAGTCAGGGGCTCACAGGTGCCTACACTCCTGTCTTTAACGAGTCTCTTGTTTGAGTTAGGGCCTTTTCCGTGCGTAGGGGAGATGCGTCGTAAACCCGCAGCAGGTGAGACAGGACCGGTATTTTGCTCGTGGTTCTGAGTTTGCAGTCAAGTGCAGAGTTTTGGTGTCAGGTGAGGCTTAAGGCGGGACACCAGGCCAGCCCCTGGAGGCTCCGGTCCGCGTGCCTGTGATCCATCCCGGTGCTTTCGGCTCGCCCGCCGGGCCGCGCTCCCGCCGCAGTCGCGCTCCCGCGCCTCCGCGGCCGGGCTGAGCGCGCGGCCGGCGGCGGTGGCCGCACGTCCCCCCTCGCCCGCCCCGCCCCGGCGCACGTTTCCATTTTAAACCGCCGCCCTCCCGCCCCGCCGCCGCGGCCGGCGCAGCTGCCTGCCCGCGCGTCCCGGGCCCTGGGAGTGGCGCGGGCTCCGGAGCCGCCGCCGCGCCGTGCAGAAAAGGCCCGAAGACGCCAGCGGAGCCCGCGCCGCCGCAGACAATGAACCCGCGGGCGCCGCCGCCCGCCCCGGGCCCCGCGCGCCGCGGCAGCACCTGCCGGCGAGACCGTCCCTGCGCCTGACCGTCCGCCCTCCCGCCGCTCCGTCCCCCACCCCGCGGGCCCATGGCCGGGCTCCTCGGGCCGGGACCACCGCACTCGGGCCGCGCCGCGCGCCGGCCCACGGTCTTCAGCGGCACCGTCCCCGCAGCTTGAGCGCGGCCCTCGCGGCGAGTAGGGGGCGTGGGCCCTCTCCCGGCGCGCCCGCCCGTCCCTGCGTCCCGGCCCGCGGCTAACTGGATGCAGCGGAGCCCGGGCGGGCGGCGCGGCGGCCGCGGCCCCGGACGATATGTATCTGCTGGACGGCAGCGGCGAGCCCGCGTCTCCGCCTGCGGACGCGATGCCGCGCGGGACGCCCCCCAGGAAGACCGTTTACCGCATCTCGGTGACCATGGTCAGGAAGGAGCAGCTGGCCGCCCCGGGCCCCGGCGGCCCCGACCCGCGCCCCGCGCGGAGGTTCCGGCCCGCGCGCTCCCCGGACGCGCCTGAGCGGCTGGTGGAAGAGGAGGAGGCGGAGGAGGAGGAGGCGGCGGCGGTGGTGGTGGCGGCGGGCACGGAGGACCCAGAGGGCCGCCGGCCGCGCGCCTGGGACTTCCGCACTTACCGCACCCGCAGCACCGGGCAGCTGGAGCTCGGGCGGCTCCGGCCGTGCGCACGCGGCACCGGGCCAACGGACGTGGCTGGCAGTCCCCCGGCCTTGAAGCAGGAGCCCAGCTCCCCTGCGCCCTGTAGCCCCGACGTGGAAGGGGCCCGGGCCGCGCCACTGCGGCGGAGCCTCAGCTTCAGACACTGGAGCGGGCCCGAGACTCCACGGGACCCGGCCCTGGGCCGCGGAAGGTGCCACAGCAGCTCCGGGAGCCTGGCCTGGGCGCCGGGCGGCGAGGCCGTGGCCGACCCCGGCGTCATCCCGGAGCCCGCGCCCGCCGCGCAGCCCGCTTCAGAGAAACGCAACACCCTGGACGTGGGCGAGGTGCTCAGCAAGAACGATGCGCTCTCGGACCTGGAGCGCTGGGAGCGCAGTAAGAGCAAGAACCGCACGCTGGACAACAGCGACCTGCAGCGGCTGGAGCGCGCGCGGGCCGCTGCCGCTGGCCCCAGCGCGGCCTCGGAGCACAGGCTGCTGCGCTTCTTCAGCGGCATCTTCGCGCGCAGGGACGGCGCGCCCGCCGGCGGGCCCGCCCCGCGGAGCATTCCCTCGCGGCCCCGCGGCTACTTCAGCCTGCGGCGCGCGCCGGCCGACGCGCACTCGTCCAGCGCCGAGAGCATCGATGGGTCCCCACGCAGAGGTGGGCAGCGCGGCCGGAGTGGGAGGGCAGTGGTGGGAACGGGCCTGGCGGCCCAGCGGGCCTGCCCAGCAGAGCGCTCTGGGAATTGAGAGCAGATAAGTAAGGGCCCTGCCCACTCAGGTCCCCAGCCGGCAGGGGGTCATGCCAGGTGTGAATTCGGGCACTGCGGTTTTCCCCCAGTGATACTGGGTCCTCACGGTCCTGACCTGCCTGCTCTCAGCCACACGTGGTGGCGCCTTTCAGTGCGTGTGACCTCAAGTCCCTTGCGCCTGTCTGGCAGAGATCACCTTGCCAGGTGCTGCCTTTCTCCTGCCCTGCCGGCGCAGCCCTCTCCACCAGCAGGCCTGTGAGCTGGCAGCTGCCGGCTGTGCTCTCTGTGGGCAGCTCCAGGGGGCCAGGCCGCGGCCCTGAGGTTGCTGCACGGGTGGTGCGGCCCCGCGTGGGGAGCCGCTTTCACCTAGGTTCCCGTCTTCCCTCACCTCCAAGCCGAGTGTCTGTCCTTGCGGGCGCTGCCGGGAGGTGCTGCGGGCGGTGCTGTGCTGTGGCCCCAGCCGCGTGCACGTTGTCACGTGTTGTGCTCCTGGTCGGGACAGTTTCCCAGGGGTCGGGGATGTGGATCTCTCCCCGGGGCGCCCCGCTGGGAGGACAGTACTCGGGGGGCGGGGCTGTGTTTCCCGCTCCCGCAAGCCGGCCAGGGTCGCAGCTGCAGCCCCTCGAGACTTCAGCCCGCTGCTCTCCTCTCCTGGCCGCCAGGGCTCTGCAGAGAGGGCTCCCCACGGGGGGGGATGACAGCCTGGCACGTGGCTCGGGCGGCCGCCGGGAGTGTCTGGGGCGTTGGAATCCTCCGGAACCTGCAGAGCACAGACCCGGTGGGTCTGTCCACAGGCCTGGGTGTCATTCTGCGGGAGGAGGCTGGGGTGGGGCGAGGGAGGCGTGGAGGTGTGCCCCCCACGTGTTTCCCCTCTGAAGGGTCCTCAGGCGGATTGCCACAGCTGTGCTGCGGCTGGGGGCGGGGCGGAGGGAGCGCCCTCGGTTCTTTCAGCCGCAGCTGGGAGTGCCCTGCCTCGGGGAGAGGCTCCCTCCCCCAGCCGGCCCTGGTTACCTGGCTGCCTGGGGGCGTGGTGCCGCCCTGCCCTGGCTGCGGTGTTTCCAAGGGAAACCAAGACGGACCGTCCTGTTCCCGTAGGCCTCCTCCGGGGGTCCTCCCAGCGAGAGAGTGTTTGGAACTGAGAAGTTGAGCATGGAGTTGTATTAAAATGTGATTTTTTGTTTTTTTAGCAAGGATACGGTATAGCATACCGGTTGCCAGGCTGGCATCAGTTTAACTTGGTGTTCTTATTTGTTTTCACTAGAAATCGGGGGGGTTGTTTGTTTTACAATTCGGAGCAAGGCACGCGAGTGGCTTCCTCACGTGTGGTCGCGCAGTCACAGGGCCGAGGTCCCTCCGTGCGGGACAGGCTGGCGCCGTGGAGGGCATTTATGGGCGGAGCTCTTGACCGACGGCTTCGTGGCTGGTCAGCGCCAGGGACGTGGCCCTTCCGCTTCGACCCGAAGTCTCTCTCTCTTCAGTGACAATCGGCATTCAGTGTTCCGTTCCGTTTGGGTGTGCAGCACGGTGGTTAGACAGCCACAGGACTTACCAAGCAACCCCCCGCCCGTAGTTCCAGGGCCCGCCCGGCACCGGGCGTGGTCATTAGGACGTTATTGACCACATTCTCCTGCGGGACTTCACCCCCCCCCCGGGACTGTTCCAGCATCCTGGCTTTTCCCTTGCCTTGGCAGACTTGCCTCAGGAAGTCACCGTGTTTGACTACACGCAGTATCCCGTCCCTCCCCGCGTGCTCCGGAACCGTGTTCAAGCACCGCGAGTTCATTTGTTAAAAACAATTAGTCCGCGTGAAGCTGCTGCTTCTGTCGTCTGTGTTCGGCGGAAGTTCGTGTACACAGCCCGTTCCCCCTCTTCTAACAGCGGGCTTGCGTCTTTGCTCTCGCGGGCTTTGTAGACAATAGTAACTGCCCCTCGGGTTCCAGGCAAGTGTGCCCCCTAGAGGGAGCAGAGGCGGGGCAGGTGTGCAAACAGGTGGGAGGAAGGCGGCCCGTCCTGGTACCTGTGGCTGCGGGGTGATGTGTCCTTCTGTTCAGGTGGAGGAAGAGGGGAGTTGCGATGCTGCAGGTTCAGAGTTCATTGGCGTGTTCCCCTCTGGGCCAGTGTCAGATAGCAGCCGTCATCATTGTAACAGTGTTCGGTCCGTCTGTCCCTTGCGGCCAGTCCTCTGAGGGTGGGGGTGCTCTGGTGTGAGACCCGGGTTGTGGGTTGTGCAGAAAAACTGACCGTTGGGGGGACACACAGTCAGATCGGCGTGGCCTCACCTCCTTCTGAAGTTCCAGGCGAGCACGGAAAAGCTGCCTCTTTCACCAGCCCTTGGTCGGAACGCCTGAAATGCCAGGACTCTTAAGATATTTGCAGGGCCAATGTCCGTACCAGTGGAAGTGTATCCCCCACAGCTTGCGGGTCTCCCTGTTTTATCACGTGCTTCCCGCGTTTCATGTATCTGCTTCCTGTGACTTCGATTTTCAGAATTGGGGTGCTAGTAGCTACACGGGGTTTTGAGTTGAGGATGAATTCTCTACCGAAACTTCCAGATGTGGTGATGCAGGCCCAGCGGCTCCGTGACCGTCCTTAGGGCGCAGGTGGGCACGGCCCTGCCCGTAGCGGGGGGCCAGGTGGGCGTGCAGGGCTCACAGGAGTCGGAAGGGAGCGTGGGGCGGGCTCCGGGACGCTGCCCGTGTGGCCGGCCAGCCCTCTGTCGTCAGGTACCGATGATCTGCAGCGAAGTCGGAGATAGTGACACTTGGCACGGTCCAGGGTTTTGCCGCCAAGCGAGCGCCTGCTGGACAGTTGTGAGCAGAGCTCCCGTTCTGGCACCTTCCTGGGCCCCAGATCAGCTGCTGGGGCCTGGCCCGTGGTCCGGAGGGTGAGGGGAACATCGCTGGTTTCCCTCAACCTGGGCCCCCGTCCATTAAACTCCGAGCTTCTGTCAAGTCTAAAGGAAAGCAGGGAAGGTTGTCACCGGGCAGGCCTTCCTGTCGTTAGACCGTCCCGGCTCGTCAAGCTCTGAGCCGGCTGCAAGAAAATAAAAGAGGATCACCCTGGGTGGTTCCAGCGGTTTCCTGGGCTCCCGAGTGCCGAGCTTGGTCTGAGGCGGCGCACCTGTGCTGGGGCGAGGGCTGCAGGGTGCTGGGGGTCGTCTTCCAAAACACGCGGCCTTCCGTGTCACACGCCTGCGGTCCCCTGCACGGGCAACTCGGGGTGTCAGGGTGCGAGGCTCGCCGCGCCGGCCGTTGTCGGCTGCCCCTCTCGCACTCCCTGAGCCCTGTCGGTCCTTGTCTGTTCCTGCTGTTTCTTGTCTTCCCGCCCCGTGCACGACGGCCACCACCCAGAGACCCGGGGCAGCCGGCTCCTTGTGAGGGTCGTGACCGTCGCTGAGGCCAGGAGGGTTCGGAGAGGCCCCGGGTCAGTCAGCAAGGGCAGTTTCCTGTCACCTGATACACACGTGTGGGGGCAGTTTGCTGACACAAGTGTCGTTTCATACAAAGCGAGGTCCGATGATAAATGATTGATTACATCGTCGAGCGTCGCCCCCTGCATCCCGGCCAGCCTGCTAGTGAGTATCCCTGGGACCCGCCGCGGGCACCGCCGGCCCAGCGCCGCACGCGTCTGCAGGGTGTCCGTCGCTGTCCCGGAGGATTGATCACAGCAATAGAGCGGTCCATTGACAGCCCTGGCCGAGGCTGTTAGCAGTTTAGCGGTGTGCAGCTGAGTTCTGATGGCACGTTTTTTAATGAGTGGCTTGGTTCCTTAACTTCTGATTCCCCTGATTTGTGTCACTCAGTTTCTGTGGCGTATTAGACTGTTCCGTACAGTTCAAGGGAGAAGAAACTCCAGTGGAGAAAAGAGGAAGCAGTAGTTACACGAAAGAAAACAAAAACTTGATACATCCTAACTGTTAAACTTGGTTTGTTACAGACAAGGACGGCGGGGGTTTAAAAGAAACAATGTAACTCAGCTTCTCACCTGAAACATTCTGAACTAGAGGTGCTCAGAGTTGAGCGGTTCACTTGATTGCTTAGGAACTCACCTGCTCTTAATCAGGGACTCCTGAGAGCAAGTGAGGGCGCCCAGTTTGGCGGCGGTGGTGGTTTCAAAGTCGAGTCGCCCCCTGGAGACAGTGCACGTGGGAAACAGGCCGAGCCGCCCGAGGGTCAGCCGGGGCCCCTCCGCGCAGGCAGGCGCCTCAGAGCCTGGGCCCTATCCTGCTGTGCCGGCGCTCTCCAGCGGGGGCCGGTGTTGTGGCACGGTCACCTGTGAGCGTTTTTCCTCTGGTCACCCCGGGCTTGCAGCCTCCCACCGGCACCGGAACGTTCAGAACAGCGTCTGCCACGGGGTTCCTCCAGGTTCAGAGCAGGCCCAGCGCAGCCATCCGGCCGGCCCACCGTCAGCGAACCCCTCTGGCGCCGTGGGGGCACAGGAGCGACGGCAAAGCTCCGGCACCGCTGTTGTTTTCTGCTTCGCCGTGGGGTCCTGTTGTCTCTCCACCACTCATCCAGCGGGTCCAGGGTACCTTCTGCAGCAGGCGCGGGGGGTGGGGGGTGCCCAGTGCCTGACCCCAGAGCTCGGTGGGCTGCTGAGGACACTCTAATGAGTCACAGCTTCGTGGGGCACCTAGGGGCAGGAGTGACTGTTGTTTCTCCGCGCCAGTGCCTGTGTGTTCACGTCTGCCGGTTCTAATAGCGAGCCCCCCTTAAGAGCCCTCTTTACACTGCTGGGCTTGGTGTGCACACTGGTGCTGGTGCCCGAGGGAGGAGTCAGCCGGGGGCCGGGGCCCACACAGGCAGCTCGCGGCCTCGAGCGGGAAGCGGAGTCCACGGGGCCCCAGGAGGGCGGATGGGTTTGGGTCCCGCAGAGTCAGCAGGAGAGCGCCAGGCGGTGTGGCGGTGGT